GACTTCTCTGGAGGTCAAGCAAAGAACTCCAGCATTTGATTGCCTGAGCAGCCAGCATGTGATCCTTCGTTCCTAGACATAACTGGCGCATGAACTTAGGCTGCCTCTTTTTGTTGACTGTTAAAATCGACTGATCCCAAACCCTTATAGTGAAGTTAAGCTGTGTGGTCAACCCACGGTGAATGTGTTACACTAGTGGCCTCAGGTGGAAAGTTGGATGGAAGAGGCAGTGGGAGTGTAGTGATGATGGTCCGGGAAGGAGAAAAACTCACCTCCTTTTGTCCCTAAAAAATGGTGACCCTGAAAGTCTAAGCCTTGCTTTACGAGACTGTGTAAGGAATAGATGTCCTTATCCCAACCCCAAATTTCATCATACAAAGGTTACATATATTATTTCCATTCGAGTGCTTTATTATATTGGAATTGCAGTGATATTAACATTTGTACAAATGCACAAAATCTTATCTCTTCTTGCTAGAAAGAGATGTAAAAATCTGACCTAGTTGAACAGTCTTAATGAACTCATTGTCCATTGGTAACAATAAATGTGTTCACGATGCCACAAAAAGCTTAACATAAAATTAAACATATTAAATGCTGCAGCAAGTATTTACATGTATGTACCCCCAAATTTTTTTCTCCTTCCAGTAAGGAAGGTGGTTGCTTTGCAAAAAGACAAACAAACACAAATGCTTTGCTGTTTACAATGACAAACAACCCCAAGTCTAGAACTTAAAGTGACAGCACCTTTTTGGGGACTTCCTTAGTTAACACTTAACTTTACACAGTGCTAGACTTTCTTCTTTTAATTATATTTTTGGACAATATTTATATTCCAATTGTCCTAGAACATTGCATTTGAACGGAGCCATTTTTCTGGGCCTTTTCAGAAGATCCCAAACCCTATGTCCTCTCTAGGGAGAACATTTTAAGCTTATCTTTTCTCTAAGACAATCCTCCAAGGCAGCATTCCTCTTTCTCTGAGGCAGATGTGACTTAGCAGAACTTTGCAGGAAAGAGGGTGAGGAGGTCTTCTTTCCTACTGGCTGGCTGGTTGGGAAGGGTCCTTTCCCTTATCCCCCCCCACTTGAGCACCACTGATACCTTTCATTATCTCCTGTAGTGTCTGTAGCATTGGTATCCTAAAGGAGCAAAGTAGAATCTAATGAACTATTGTGCATAAGATTTTAACAATGTATTTAAAGCTAATTTATTCAGGTTACACATTCTCAGTCCTGAGTCTAAATGATTCTATCGTAAGAAAACCAATCCTGGGCCGGCCCGGTGGCGCACTGCTACTGTGCGTCGCTTGGGAGCGCGGCAGCGCTCCCGCCGAGGGTTCGGATCCCACATACACACCGATTCCCGCTCACTGGCTGAGCGAGGTGCGGGCGCAACACTGAGGGTTGTGATCCCGTTGCCGGTCCCGGTCCGGTACGGGCGCGACACTGAGGGTTGCGATCCGTTGCTGGACACGAAAAAAGACAAAAAAAGGAAAAAAAAAAAAAAGAAAACCAATCCTATAAAGTTCTACAATCTGAAGCTCAATGTGAGTAAATCTTAATTGGCTTAGGAAGAGCTTTCTAGATCCCGACTTCTAATGAGCTAGATATTGTAAGTTGGCCTAAATGTAACAGTTGATAATTATTGATTCCCTTCTGATGATAAGCTTGGAAAGGTATCAGAATGCCACTTAAGCATATTATTCTTTTAACAAATGCTGGCAATTTGTCCTTACCCCCCTTTTCAGTTTGTGGTTAAATAGTTTTGTCTTTTTTTTAAAAAATAGACAATTTATAAGGAAAAAAATATAAACACTCTTTAAGCAATTTGGCTACAAGCATTACATCACTGAAAAACTCCACAAGAAATAGAAAATATTTTGAACGGACATATACTTTGTCATTTTCACAACACGATGAGCTAGGCTTTTTGTTTAATTTGTTTGTGTGTTTGTTTTGGTACTGGATTTGATTTGTAAGTTTATTGCTTCTATGTCTTCTTATCCTTCCTTAGATTATAATTATAAAATAGAGGTGCTGTCCCTAATTATGTTACAAGGCAACATCGTTTTTCTAGACCTAGGAATGAAATTGACAGGGCCCCTGCTATTTCAGTGGCCTCAGAGACATTATGGCTAGGACAACAGTCAAATGTGCATCACAGTGCACGAAAGAATAAGTCTCCTGGCTTATTCAGGACACTTTGGTTTGGAGGATGAGACAGAAAATTCTTAAGGGTAGCTTAGCTGCTGCGTCACATCTGTTGCATAATATAACATTTTTTAAAAACATGCTATGAATAAGGGGATACAGAGTATAAACCATATAGTGTACTGGCTCTTCTCCTTGGCATTCTTGTAGCAGGCTTCACCTAGTCTGATGTAAGAGACAAGTTTTAGCTATGCTACTAATGAATGCACACGATTGTACCTGGTGCAAATATTCTGTAAAGTACTTTAAACGATGCAGCTTAGAGCCTTAGAGGAAGGGTGGGAAGTTGTAAAGGGGAGAGCAAAGGTGAGTTTGAGGACCAGGAAGAAAGAGAATAAGAGAAACAGAAAGGGATCAAAAAAGCTAAAGTGCAATTTTAAAATATAAATTATTTTAAAAGCAGAAAAGAGATTCTAAATTGCTAATGTTCGCATAGGCACAGTTTTATTCAAATTTAATTGGGTTGTTTCCTTTCCCTTCTTAGATATACTGCATAATGGATCTTGAATGGCTTAAAGCTACTGCACATTGTTTGGGAAGGGACAAAAAGCACTAAGGAAACTGAACAGTGCAAGGCATTCTAGGAAATTGGGGTGGGGTGGAGAGAAGCAGAGAAGTTTTCACACTTCTACAAGCAAGCTGTTCCAGTTATAGTTACTGATTCCCTTTAGCTGAACTCTGCTTCCTAAATGAAAGAGCTCACTTTAAAAATGAAAAAAAAAAAAAAAAAAAAAATAAAAAACCTGTTCAGAATGTAGATTAAAAAAGAACTCACAGAGCAATAAAAATCCTTGAAATGTCTATGCACAGAGATCTAAGCAAACATTTCCATGAAATGATGGAGAATAGCCATTTGAAACCCTGAAAAACGAAAATACACACAACTAGAGTAGTTTATTATGGACTAATACTTTAAAAACAAGTAGATCCTACAGAAGAATACTGTTCATATGGAATGTTTAAAAATAACATTTATTAATAAATATCTTATAAAATTCTAAATTAATAGATTCCTGTTCAAATTTGCTTTGGTCCTTGAATTCCACTGTATACACACATACATACATATATATTTTCTTAGATGGTTTTTATTAACCAGAAAGAAGCACATTCTATCCTAACTGGATGGCTAGTTTTATAGCAGTTACTGATGCTTAAACCTCCCCAGCCAAAGACTAGTCTTTTACTGCAGCTGGTTTATGATTTTAATGACAAACACACTAAAATTTACTCAACAGGCACCACCTGAACGTTCACCATGGATGCCCCCTCTATCAGAATATGCACTGCATTTATTTTGTTAATTAGATAGGCTCCAAAGGGCATTTGCTCTGAATAAGTCACCCTAGTTATCATAATGTATACCATGACAGCACACAAACTGCTGTCCCCCACGGGCAGTGTTAAGACTGTGACTTGCCTACACTGACGTGGGGGCAGGCGAGGGATGAGCAGGAGTGTAAAAGGAAAACATCTGACCTAACACCTGACTTTAAAATTAGTACATTCATCCATGGCTGGGACTTTCACTATACCTGTCCTGGCATCACAGATTGAGAAATGCATCAAGAAGAAACAATTAAGGTGGACGCCTCAATGTAGGTGAGGATTCAAGTGGTATTAATGCTCTCAGGTGTACCTATCTGAGTTGTTAACTCCCACCACATCAGCAGGGGAGGCACTGAAGAAGTTCCCAGGCAGGCTGGCAGTGACTTCAGAGATAGATCCTGCCAACAAAGAAAACCACACATGAAGGAGGAGAGGCAGTGTTGCAGGGACCTGCCCTCCTTAGGGTGGGCCATTACGACTGGTTCATGAAAACATGGACGGGTGACCCAGTAATTGGCTGGAAGAGAAGAATGGGATGGAAAGATGTTCTCCCTGATTGGCAAAAAGTATAGGGGAAATAGGAGGGATTTTCAGGCAGATTGGTTATTCTGTGGTCTGGTGAAAGCTGGACCTTTAGGTGAAATTCTTAATATTGATAAGCTAAGTGTTGGATTTGACCAGTGATTCTTTTGTTTGGGATTTCAAGAAGCACCGACCACTAGCTGGCATCTTGCATTTTACTGTATTTCCATAATGTGAATGAACATACCTAAAGGCCCTGAGTACAAGAAGACAGTTTATTCTAATTATATGTTGAGACCGGTTTGCTAACGTGTGTGGTTGGTTTGCCTACTTAGCATAAAAAACAGACATAATTGAGCTATATATAATGCACATCAGTCAACCTGTCAAGTTGCTGAATTAAGAAAACTCAGGCAAGTTCTTAACTGCAGAGGCTTTCAGTTTAACAACTCAATATTTTAATCAAGAGGTGGAACAGAAGTAAACTAAACCATAATTTTAGTGACAGTTTACTCCCTGGACATTCTGATATTACTACTGGATTTTTTAAAAATCCATTTATTAAGTGCTATGCATGCAGTAAAGAAAGAAAAGTTTTTGTTTACTTAAAACTAAGCAAAACATAAAAGTAAAAAATAAAAAACCCAAACAAACAAACATTTCAATGTGTTATTTTTCCTTTTTGCAGGGAAGGGGAGACACATAGACAGTCCTACGAACAAATTTTGAAAAAATTATTTTTGATTTTAAAACAGATACCAATGTTAACTTCTTTTTAAAAGCCAAGTCTTAAACATTTCTTAGGAAGCCAGTCAGGTCAAACAATACAGCTGTTACTGCTGGAATTTTGTTTAAAAACAACAACTATGAATTCAGTATTTAAAATATTTGAAAATTATGTTTGTCTAAAATATAATAGAAAATTCTTTTCATTTGCATTTTTTCTTTTTTTCTCTTTTCTTTTTTTTTTTTGTTTTTGTTTTTGTTTTTTGATTCTTAGACAATATATCCAAGTCATAAATTTCATTGGACGCTCAAAACCATCTTTGAAAGCACTGCATACATGGAAAGATTGTTGATAAACATTGATTTAAAAAGTAAGTTACTAGATAAAACTGAAACTAGTTATAAAAATCATGCTTCGCGACCCTCATATTTTCTTTTTTTCTCCAAAATAGATTCTTACACTATAATTAGAGAAAAAACCGCATCCTTCCCTTTTCTGAACTCTTATAAAAGCTACACCTTTTGTAAAATACTGTTCTTTTAAAATGCATGAACATACATACACACACACACACACACACACACACACACACACACCCGTTAGGAGGTCGAGCATTCAAATGGAGATGAAACCCAGCACCTTCCTAGACTGCTATAGAGAAACATTAGCCCCTGTTGCTTGTGAGATGCAATACTAAATCATTAGCACAGTAGAATGGCTTGTTTCAAGGAGGCACAACTGTGGTTTGGGGAATATATGCTTTTTATAATGGGCAAGTCTTCATAAGTCACTGAAAATATAAATCGGAATTATGCGAACGAGTGGAGTGGCCTGTGCCATGTCCATGGGCTTCCTTCAGCAGCCGAAGAGCACTTTAACTGCTGTGGGAGGCTGAAAGTGCGCCCGTGGAAACACTGGGTTTTCTTTCCCTCTTTGTTTCTCCAGTGGTCTACTCTCCCCCACCAGAACAGCAAAGCCGGTTCCATAGGCTTAAGAAAAAAAATAATAAATCTTAGGCTATTAGCAGCTGATGATTGAACAATGTAATCTGTGTAGTGAACAGAGCCCTTCTGAATTATTATAGAGTACGTGGATTTTCAACATTATAGACAGGCCGTATAAAACCAGTTGTAATTCAAGGGTGTGATGTTACAGCCCCGCATCATAATTGGACTTGCACAATCGAGGCTTACAAAGCTCCCTTCCCCAGTGTCTCCACAGCTGGCGTTCAACACTGCTTCACCTGTAACTAAACCACCTTTTATTTGCTCTGATTATTAAAAACATTAAATCAGGCACATTAAACATCTCCTGGTTACTATTTTGTGAAAAGCAAGAATGGAATGAACTCCAGCTGTGGGTTGCAGGCAAGTGAAGCAACAACTAGGTCCCCATGTTTGAGGACTGCTTTTTTTTCTCTTTAAACATTATTTTTTTTCTTCACATGCAATGCTAAAGGGAAAAAAATAAAACAGAAGAAAGTCAAAAGAAGAGTGCACAGGGAGCCCAGAGAAAGCAGAAATGGACAGGAAAATTGGGCACTGGAGCAAGTGGCCCAGGAGGAGAGGAGAGGTGGTGAGACGCCTGGTGGGTTTATTTGGACATCGATAGATCTTATAATCCTTTACAGTAAGAGAAACAAAATTGTGGGAAAGGCTGCGTATTTATCTGGGATTCTGGTGACATCACAGTGCAAACTCAACATGAGTTATGATGCCATCAGATTTCCTACCCAGTTGCCTTGGATCTTGTCTTATTTGACATCTAAGTACGCCTCCTTTTGGCTGAAAGCTATGGTTTAACAAGATTCAATGTTTCAGGCAAAGAGTTGGACTGATAAGATGGAAACCATGACTATATACAGAAAAGGTTCAGTTTATAAACAAGTAACTGGTACCAGAAAAGTGGAGAAAAGCACCAAAGCATTTCCCAAGCTGATAGATATTAATTGCATAACTCCCTTTTTTCTTATATAACTAAGTATAAAAGACAACATTTCCATAATAACTATAAAAATGAAAGCCAGTCTTTGAAGGGCTGAGGAGTCTTCCAGGTCTGAGTTAATTCTAAAAATGCCCTTAAAAGAAAGGACGCATGGTATGCTACAGCTCTTCTTGGAGGCAAGGTCTGACCCATGCAGTTTAAAGAATCGGATTCAGGTCTGTTCTGTGAGTGGTGAGCTGACTGAGGGTGGAGCTTCCTACGACCTCGCTGACTGCAGAGGAAGTGGTGATGGTGTTATGCTGGATGACTTGCTGCTGGGAGCAAGCTGGGACGGGACTTGCAGGAGGGCTACTCTCCGGACCTAGGAAAAAACACACATACACACACACCAATATAGCTCTTTCTTGTATGGACTTGTGGACCCCTCAGAAAAAATTGTACTAGACATTTACTTGAAATAGAAGAGTTTCGCACTATTTTTTCTGGAACTTAATTTCAAAACTTTATTTTAAACTGTAGTCACAAAGCTATGCCTTCCCAGTTTATAGCTACAAGCAAAGCCATGCTTTCTATAACAGCAATGTTATTTGATGTGTTTGAGTCTTGGGATGTGAACTTCCCCATCCTGTACTTTCAAATAGCATCCATATATCAAATGTGGAAAAATACTCACATGTGGTGGGAGAATCTGTGTTGCTCAATCTAAAAAATTATTTGAAAATCAATTGACCTTCAGCCACGAATCCCTGCTCCTCCCACCATTCCCAACTCAACCAGCATTTATCCCACTGACATTCCTGGTGCAGAAATTGGGGTCTAGGAGAAGGGATCTACTTTACCTATTGGCAAACTGAGACAGGGTCACTGGCTTTGCAGCCCAGTGAGTAACATGAGGTGTATCTTGAGGCACTGGATGAGATTCATCCAGTGCTGGTTTCCCAGCCCAAGTATTTCTCAAGAAGACTGCTAGGCCACTGGCAATTGGGCTCCAGCAGGCTATTTTCTTACTTGCTACAAAACTTTAACTTGGTAGGATTTTACAATATGAAATGCTAGAGAAAGTGTAGCCAGAAATTACCAGGAAGTGGTGGGTATGGTGTTGAATAGGGGTCAGAAAAGAGGGATCCCCCTGGCAGAATAGTCTGGCAGCCAATCAAGAATTCTACTATGATATCCACCAGGGAGTGCAATCTACACTTTACTTTTGCCCTTTTAATAAAATTCAATGCAAAATTAGTGGCAAAAAATCGGACACTAAAAAAGTGAAAAATCGAGTGACTTACTTAGATATCCTTGTGATTCTTTCTGCATGGCTGTTATTGGGCAGTCTTTATGTGTTAACAACAACTGTTTCAGCTGTGCCACCTCGTTTTTCAACATGGATACTTCATTCTGGAAAGAGACATAGTAAAGCCATGTTGAGAAGACCAGAGAATACAAACCCAAAGCCCCATATGCTTTCAACAACGAAATTGACAAACTTTTCTTCTGTTATGTCTGAATGATATTAAGAATATTATTTAGTGGGGTCCATCTGAAAATTTGTAGCTTACCTAGGCTATAACTTAAGAGTTGAACCCTATTAACAGGCCAGACCACACCCTTTAGGTGATGGGCCCTGGGTCCAGGTTACCCAGGTAAGCATCCCCACTCCACATTTACTGTGTGACCCTAGGCAGTAACATAACTCAGCTGAGCTCCAGCAACCTCGGTTATAAGACGGAAATAAAAGCAGTACAAAATTCTTGGGTTGTTGTGAGGATTAAATGAGGTAATAGATGTAAAAACACTTAGAACAATGCTTATCACATAATAAGCACTCAGTAATTTAGCTGTCATAGCCTTCACAAGCTCAGGCTGACACTCAGTATGAGAAAGTGAACATGCGGCATGCATTGGGAAGAATTAGGTAGCAGGATTAGTGGCTTCAAAGTGAAATGCAATCAGAATAAGCTAACTAATCTACCATTAAACTTCCTAGAAGAAGTCCCACGTGGGCTACAGTTCAGCAGAGCACATCCACCTGCCTGATGCCCAAGTAGCAAGTGGTACTGGCATGTGGTGCCAATGTTGGGTATCCACTGGTGGGATGATGTCAGCACAGGGAGGCAAGCAGCAAAGAAGTTTTGGGCCATGATTGAATTAATTTGATCAATTCATTAACTAGTTTGGCTAATTTCAACCTACAGATTCTTTTCCCCCTCAATGTCAGGGTGTTGTGAATTGTGATTGTGTTTTTTTAAAATTATGAGGGCCGGCCCGTGGCTCACTCGGTAGAGTGCGGTGCTGATAACACCAAGGCCGCGGGTTTGGATCCTATATAGGGATGGACGGTTTGCTCACTGGCTGAGCATGGTGCTGACAACACCAAGCCAAGGGTTGAGATCCCCTTACCGGTCATCTTTTAAAAAATAAATAAATAAATAAATAAATAAAATTATGTACTCAGAGAAGTGTCTCAAGTCTCTGCGTAGTAATTCACAAAGGCTTGCTCATAGGTTTGTAGAATACTGTACTCGGCCCCCATTGTCTACAAATATAAATGTACTATAGATGGTTGGCTCCAAGGTGCTTCCACTTGATAAAAGTAAACCATAAACATAGCGCTGTCTTGAATAAGCCATTTTAAAATTGTGATAAATAATACCCTCTCTCTGGATAAGGTTTTTTTGTTGCTTCCAGGCATTATATTTCAAAAGTAGGAAACTTTAAAAAAGCATACACACAGAAAACGGCGTTTAACATTGCTGTCATTAGATTGTACCTATCCTTTCAATATGAGCTAGGCTTTTCAGGCATATATTTATTACCTTGAAAAGCAAGTTTGGATTCTAGAAATTACTTAAAAAAATTAAAACCTGTTTTAAAGAATATTTCCCATTTCCGACTTTGAAAAATACATTATAAGCAACCACATATTAAATAACATTTGTAAAAAAGTAATAAAAATCTCATCTACAAAAGCTTTTCTGTTTCTTCTCCAAACTTTACAAAATAAAAAGGCCCTATTTGAGAAATTAACCTTAATGATGAATAAATCATTTAATTGTACAGGAAAATTGCTCTTAAATCTGAGTACATTCAGGAAGGTGAATTGTACCTCCGACCTCCAAATGACTGTGATTGATAAGGGGCCCTGTCAAAGCCAAAAGTGACCCTTGTCAATTCCAGGGTCAGTGGGACAACTTTATTTACAGGACAATTTATTTTAACCTTAAACACTCTTTCCTTTCTGTTGTTATGCCTGTCTAAATTCAGATCGCCTTCCTTGTTTTTCTCAGTTCCCTCTCTGCTTGAAATAGCATGTATATAAAGAAAGTCACCTTTATGTTAATTGGTAGTACATAAAAGTAAAATTTAATCTTGTATGTTGATTTTGTATCTTCTGACATCAGTAAATTTATTAGTTCAAGTAGGTTTTTGAAAATTTCTTATTTTTTTAATACAATATTATGCCATGTGTAATAAAATACAATTCTATTTTTTTTTCCTTTTTGTCTTTTTTCATGACCGGCCACGGATCGCAACCCTCAGTGTCGCGCCCGTACCGGACCGGGACCGGCTACGGGATCGCAACCCTCGGTGTTGCTCCCGCACCTCGCTCAGCCAGTGAGCGGCTGGTCTGTATGTGGGATCCGAACCCTCGGCGGGAGCGCCGCCGCGCTTCCCAAGCTCACATAGACCTTTCACAGATGGTTTACCTCTTCTATTGCACATAATCCTTGCTTTCCAGTTGGAAAAGCATCTTCTACCCCCACATCCTTTCACATAAAGAAAGATGTTTTAAAAACAGAAAGTTGTTTCATTTTTATTTCTAAGAAAACATTTTAAAAGTTCTTATTCTTTTTTGCTGAAAAATTATTGCAGGCATCTGAGAGCAGTAATAGTGAATTTTCTTTTTTTTTTTTTTTTTTTTGAAAAAGGGAAAGAAAGTCACTTTTGGGCCCTTACATAAAAGCAATCCGTGGTTAAAAACAAAACAAACAAACTAAACAAAAAAGGAAACTAAGATATGTTAATATATATACGAATATAATTGCCTCAAAATGAAATGTCATATTATTTGCATTTGGACTATAGAAATACCGCTTTTCTGAAATCACAACTTCCAGACACCTGCACCCTGAATAGAATCTCTCAGCTGCATATAATGTAGATAAGGGTTCTTAGAAAATGCAATCATGTTCCAATTTTTAGTGAATCCACACTTTTCTACTGTGACCCAGAAGACAACAAATAAAGAAACTATTAAAAACAAAACTGGGGTATCTGGCTTTCTAATTCTTCTGGAAGTAAAAAACACTCCTGCTTGGTGGTTGTGTTGGAGAGGTTGAATTTAGACTCCATTTCTCCCCTCCCCCCATGCCATGGGCAGTCACACCCTTTCTAGGCACGTTCTATCTCCCAGGCACACAATGTTCACTGCCTCTTCCTTAAGAAAACATTCTGAATTCCGTTCTCTGAGTTTCTACAGTCGCAAGGAGCTAACTGCTTACAGTACTTGGCACATCCCAAACTGTTTTACAATAAACCTTTTGCTTCCATAAAACTGCTTTGCTGTAAAACAGCACCAATCACAGCTCTGAACAGCATATGTGGTGTCCTGGCTTATCACTGAAGCCCCGTACAAAATATATGCCTTCAGTGGCATTTTGTCTATGGACAGCAAAATACTTTACTAATAAGCCAATATATTGTAAGTATAGAAACCAAGGCCCTGAGACTTGTGGTGGTCTGTAAAAAACGCAGGAACCCAGAGAGTATTCTGACAGCTGACCATCATTTAAAGATATAGGTGAGTACAGACATATTTTTAATGTAACATGTTAGTCATCATGTTATTTAGCCATGTCATGATTGAAAAATGAATACCAATTAATATCTCAGTAGAGAAGAACAATCAGCCTCTCATTTAGGTTATATGATGCTATAAGCACTAAATAAAGGCCTAATAGCCACAGAAGCAACAGAAATTCATGAAGTAGTAACCAGCAGGAAAAGGAACTCTCAACCTGAGGTTGAAAATAATTGGGTTAGAATTATCAAATTGTCATACCAGCCAAGTGCTGGACTAGTTCTCTAAGTTCCTTCCAGAAAGATAGCTTTTTATTCTGTGAGAGTTTCTGTGTTGCCTTCTATTGAGAAAGCTAATTGCCTAAGTATCTAATGAGGGATTCAGTCTTGATTTTTATTCATTAGTTAACTACTTTGGATATTCTCAAATATGCTTATATTTCAGGTCGTATATTTCATAAGGGAGATGGTTCTAGCACCTCTTGTGCTTCTAGATCATATCAGGGCAGGTTCCAAAGCAACACTTATAGTTTTACTTTAGAGCAAAATTTTGTATGTCCGGGTATGTGTCCATATTGTTGAGAGAGTCAGGAGGTTCTACTAGGGGACTCTGGCATAAGAAAGGTCAAGAATCACTGCCCTAGAGAAAGAAGAATGAATCGTGTGCTGTGCACGTGCATAATCATCTTAAGGATTCCATAATGAAAGAGTGATTGATGTAGGAAATGCACAAATACTAGACTATATTTTAAGTAAAAATCCTTTTCAAGGAACATAAATAGAATCACCTTGAATTCATTTTGGAAGAGAACAACCAGATAGCAAATGTTTAAAAATGCATGAAAGAAATCAAATGTGGCCTGCAAGTCTAATAGTAGGGAAATAAAAGCCAGGACTTCAAGAGGCATTTTCTGACTCTGAATTACTTTGCTTTATGAATTAAGGAAAATCACTGATTTTTAAAAATTTTCCTATGTAGGTTACAATAATATTTCTAAATCTTAATATAAAAGCTCTTTGCAAAAGCAAAGTATTAATAAGTATCGATTCTCTTGCTTAAATCGACCCTTCATTTTTTCATTTTTCTAAACTAATTTGGGTTTGCTACGCTAAAGCAGTTAGCCATTTAAATAAAGACTATAAGAGGGCAGATCCAGTTGGATTAATCTATTTTTAAACCAATAAGTTTGCCTTGGGATGAAGTAGCACCCCTATACAGATATTCAATACTATCATAACGTACTTTAAACAAGTACTCCAAGAAGTCCCTAATAGCTACATTTGCAGTTTTTAGCCTTGGGGACGTCATTTTGTTATATGATAAATCCAGATTGCTTTTTGGTGTAAGCAGTAGTTTGTGCCAAAAAAATAATTATCAAAATGGGCCCTACACTATTACCCTCCTCCCCTTTTTTTCTGTAGATTAGCTGAGACCAGGTTTGGTTCACTTTGAAACAAAGGACTTTCAATTTGTCAAGCAACAGTTCCCATCTGGCCTATTCTCTTGCCAAGTCCCAGACCTGGGCTCATATGTCTAAAATTTCAGCAGCAACTTAGACCATGTGCCTTTGCACACACACAAAAAGCAATTATTTCCATGAGTGACCAGATGATTTCCATATCCTCTATTGAACACAAATGATCTTCTGCATATCACATCAGCAGCTGATGAATTCAGAGCTATCTTAGGCCCTCTGTATCAGAAAAAGGAATATGCATTCTTTTAGTTTAAGGTTTTTCTAGAATGAAGATCACAAAGCAGTGGGTTAGGTTAACAAAAGACTTGCTTGAGTCCTCATTCTGCTACATATTGGTTGTGTGACATTCGGGAAGACCTCTAATTTCCCCAAATCTCAGTTTCTCTCTATATAAAATGTCAGATAGGGTGGTTTCTAATATTTCCCCCAATTCCTATACCTGTGTAGACCTCTTGGGCAGAGACATGTTGTGAGACTAGGAAATGAAGTCTGGGAATTTGATTTTGTTTTCTTAGGTCTGGTTTTTCCAATCTGAAACTCTGCAGCCTAACTAGAAGGTTCAATGCTGGAAAACAACTCAGAAGTGGCAGCTGGCCATCCAGACCTTGGATATTCCGTTTGGCTGGAGTTTGTTTGCTTAGCACCTTCCATTTCTGTTTACTTAAAATTTGGCTTGCTGGACCCGCCTCAAGAGAGACACCTTTTTCTTTTGACAAAGGTCCAGTGAGAGGGAAAGGTCACTGAAAGGTGGCAGAATATGCAGCATCCTCTCCAGCATCACAGGGCATGGTGCAGGACACACGACATCATAGCAGACACTGAACAGTTATGGCTTCTGTCTCTCTGAAGCAAAGCAGTGGTTGGAAAATATCAATGACTTAGTTTTTCCTGGGACTGCCCCTTCCTTGGGTGCTGCTTTAACAACCAAAAGGTATTAGTGCCTGTTGCATGGACTCAGTAAGATTTTTCTTTTCCTGGTTTTGGGGGGCTAGAGTTAGAACTCTTAGTACCTCTTTTCCTTAGCCATTTTGGCTCTAAAGAAATGTTAGAAATCAGTGGATTAGGGTCTAGTCAAGGGCAAATTTACCTTATGCGCTTTGCAAAAGCAACCATAAGTATGCACATGCCAAGTTACAAACACTCTGACCTCAAAATCAACTGGCATCTTTATTTCCCTGGTTCTCCACTATGATCCCCCCATGTTTTCATATTCTAGGATCACAGTCAATACTCTGGAGTAATTCCTCAAGGACTTATTTTAGTTAAAAGTGATTAAAAGACTTGACATTTCATATGTGTAAGCTGACTTTTGGTGGCTCCTTCATCTAAGGCAGTGGTTCTCAACCAGAGCCAATTTTGTCTTCCTTTCCCAACTAGGGGACATTTGGCAATGTCTGGAGACTTTTCTGGTTGTCACAATTGGGGGTGGGGGGTGTGCTCCTGACATATAGTGGGTATAGGTAAAGGATGCTGCTGAATATCCTACAATGCTACAATGCACAGGGCACAGCAAAGAATGATCCAGCCCCAAAGTCAATAGCACCAAGACTGAGAAAACCTACACATTTTCACTGTGCTCCTGCAGACCTCAGAACTGGTAGCAAATTTCTGGGGTTCCCCAACTTAAGTCATTGCAGAACCACTGCTCTAATGTTTGCTATGTCCACATATATCAGAATGTATATTTACTTAACATGTTTGTGCAAATTAACTCATTTTTTAAATGATTTAGCCTTGTCCTTACCAATAAAATTTGTGAAACTGCAGATTTGATGTCCTAATTACATTTTTCAGTACACATCAAAATAAAAACGTGACTATTCATATTAAAAATGTTTATCTATGTTCTACCTAAAAGTTTCTCACACACTAATATGGCTGCCAAATTCTAGAAGTGGATTTAAAGGTGTCTAGCCATTCCTCTGTGGTTTGACTCCCTGCAATCACATCCTTGCCAAGTGGTCAGGCAGCCAATGCTTGGACACTCCAGAGATGGGGAACTCATTCATTTATTTAATAAATATTCACTGAGTGTAGACACTATTCTAGAAACAGGGGATAGAGAGTGGGGGGATATTACACAGTCCCAACCTTCTTGTAGCATGCAATCTTATTTCCCCCCATATCTGCTATATTTTTCCCAGTTTCTTGCTCATGTGTATCACAAAAGGAATGATACATTTAGGGAAAAAAGTAAACATCCACAAATTGTAAAATTCAGCCCATGTATAACACAGACTTTCCTTGCATCTTTCAATTTGCACACTGGGTGTCCCAAAGCCGTTTCCATCTAAAGGAATTGAATATGCAAAGCTTTGGGGGTCTGGCACCCGAACTGATCCTTTCTAAGGATGATCCTTTCTAAGGAAAACCACGTGGGGGAAGAGGATGGAGGTGGCCTATGAACCATTAAAGTGCAACTGCCCTATTCTGGGCACTTTCCCTCTACGCTCTACTCTTTGGCCATTCTCTCGGCTCCTGCAATCACTGGACTATAGTTCACAACTCTTATTGCTATCCCTGGACTGCTTGTCACATGTCTATTTAAGTTGCCTTTTTTTCTACTGGTGACTCCTTTTTTACATTAGAACAAATGCCCTGAACTGCATCATCTGTACACCATGACGTCTGCTGGAGAAGCTCTGGATACTAGAGTTTCTTCCCATCTCTCAGACACTCCCAGAAGTGGCCTTGTTATAAAACATCCCCAGTTAAGCCACTCAATGAAAAGCAAAAATCAGGCAAGATTCAAATCTTACTGAGTTGGAAAACATGACTTTCTTTCAGAGCAAAGTAACCATAAACCTTCCTTTATTCCATTAAACAATAATATAGATAATCTAGTATAAGCCAAAGCAACAATAGAAACAACTGCTTTTGAAGAATTATTATGTACCAGGCACTATGCTAACTGCATTGTAGACATTAGTTCATTTATTCCTCTTAACAACTCTATAAAGTTATTATTCCCATTTTATAGATGAGGAAACAGAGTCAGAGAGGTTCAACACAGCAAGTAATTGCTGAATCAAGGTTTGAACCTCTGTCTGATGAAAGCCTGTGTTCCTAGCCCTATGACTTGGTTGGGTAGGTCTTCCCTCCTCAGAGTTTTGTAGGTAGACTAACTGAAAACTGAATGGTTTATTTGTTTTGTAGAGTGCCCCAGAATTAATAAAGCTCAAGGAGTTGGCCTGCAGTTCTTCTGTGTGCTAACTGTGTGGTGTTACTGTTAGGTCAACAAGTGCCTACAGGACAGGAAATGCCAGCTGTGCACAGGGCCTCTGAATTCCCAGGAAGCAGACAGTGGGCTGCACCTGAAGCTGCATGTTCGTCTGGGTGAGTTCTTCTGCTTTCTTTTCCAGTGACATCACCCAGACCTTCCTCTTCTGTCTGCAGCGAGTGGCAGCTGCCCGGTTCCTTTCCAGAAATTTCCGCCGCCTCTCGTCGGGATCCTCGTCCACCACCCTTCGCCGGCGCCCCCCTGTGGGCTGGGGCGGCTGTATTGTCTGGGTTGGCTGCATCTGTTGCGTTGCTGGTGAAACCTGCTGGGACAGAGAGGGAGAAGGTGATAGGGATAGGGAAGGACATGTTGGTAAGGAAAGAAACCCAAGCTGGTGTTAAAATGCAGAGCGCAGGAAGCCAATTGCTTTAGGAAGCGTATAAAATGTGTTTGCTATAAATGAAATAGACAATGAACTCATGCTCGTGAAAGAAAAGAAAAAGCATCATTGAGCTATATTCTGATATTTTGGCAAGATATAGGAATGACTTGTGAAAAGATGTAGTCAGGTGAATTTTTCCCTAACAGGCATTTTGGCTGAATCACAGCAGAGGAAACATTTCTTTTTTCCCTCAGGTATTAAAAATGTTTTATTTAAGGTACGTTTAAAAACCTTAAAGTAACTGATGTATGGCTATCTGGTGAAAACAGAGAGGTCAGGGTTATTGTCACAATATTGATGAGTCATCTGTCATCTGCAAAAAACCTCTGGGCAGGTTGTAGGCTCTTTTCATTCTAATGATGTTAAAACTGTGTTCCTAAAACACACCTCTGGGACATCGTTGTCACTGTGACTCCTATTAAAAGAATCCCATGAAGCTGGGAGGGCAGTTGAAATCCTATTTTCACTATTTCACAGTTCTTATTGCAGAGGACTAGCTGGACCTACAAACTTTAGATGGGTCTGCCTGTTCTCAGAGCTGTCACTAGGGTGGAGGGAGTTACAGGAGAGCTTTCCAGGTGATTGGAAGGGCAGAGCCTTTGAAAGCAGCAGTCGATGAAAGCAGCACTGAGCCCTGTCACATGCTGTGTGTGTGAGATAGCGGGGGTGGCTGTGCATTTCCACATGCCTACATTATAAGGAAGTCCTAGGAATGGCAAAGCACTTTATTAAAAAGTTTTATTAAGCTTAGAGATTCCTTGTAAGGTCTGCATGGGACTCAGCAACATCTAAGGTTTTAGAGACCCCCACACATACAAACTTTATTTCCCTTCATGAGGCAGACACACAGCACCTTGTGAAATTTCTACGACTGACTCTTTATATGTCTGCACAGCTAATGTACTTCACTCCTTTCTCCTTCTTCTTTCTCAATAAAGGTATTTTTTTTTTCTCTTTCTCATTTCTCAGTCACTCAGGTTTATGGCCGTAATACCTATAAAGTTGTTTTACAAGAGACATTTACCCTGTAGAAATAACAGGCAAAACATTTCTAAAATGAAGCCCAACAATCTTTTCTACCACATTCCAACGCTATGATTGAAATCAATCAGAATGACTGTAATGGCTACTGGTTGACATCGGCTGACTGATAGTGATATATTTTAATCTTAAACTCTATCAAACCTTATATGACTAATTGTAAGAGAATCAGGCTCGGGATTGAGGTCAGACTACATCTCAGTAATTTTATTTAAAGCAAAGACATTTTCTAAAACCGTGTATTGGCGATTCCTTTCCTCTCGATCATAGAGGAATAACAAAACAAATTAATTGTCTAATGTCTTACTCACCAGGGTGGCTAGTGAAGACGTAATCCTTGTTATTGGCAAAGATTTAGCACCTGTCATTTCAAACGCTAACTCCCAAGCGTTAGGAGGGAACATGCTAACTGCTCAGTTATTTTTGCCTTTACTGTTTATGTGTGTGTGTGTGAAATAGTGATCCTTTATCACCAGCCCTAAACAAGACTCAAGAAGACAAACTGGTTTTTAATCTCTGCTGTAGGGACCTCTCTTTCAATTCCATATCCTTCTACCCCAACTTCAATCCACGTTTAAACTGTGACACGTTTCCTGTGCCTTCACCCAAAGCAATAAGTGATGTGGTGGTTTCAGGCGCAGCGCAGGTTCAGGGTTTAAGGTGTAGGTTGGTTAAGAGAAATTCCTGATGGTGTGAAGTGACCTCTGACGCTGAAATCACATCCTTACCTGCAGGAGGATCACAAAAAGCCAGGAGATATTGGAAATGCAACCCTAAGACCAGAATTTGTGTCCCTGGTACATATTTTATTTTAAAAACGGAATTCTCTTGGCATAGATGTGTGAAAATTTTGATGAAAAATAATGAATTGTGATTTCAAAAAGATAATTTATTCTACATCATATTAAAATCTCAGAATTAAAAAAACTCTATTCCTACTGTTCAGATGACCATAAGATTAAGCAACATGACAAGATCTCAGTAATAAGCCACATTAATACAAGTTGAGTGGTATTTTAGAATACTGTCTAAATGATCTGGTTCAAATTTTAACATGACCAAGCTGGACTCTTTCTTTTTAGTATAGAAGAAAAAAGAAACTGTTATGTACCTAATTATAAGGCAATTAACTAATTTTACATACAATTGCCACTTACTGACTTCAAACAGGGCAATTGGCTAATTGGTAATTAACTACTGAACGGCTTTTACATTCAAAGAACTGTTAAACTTGTTTGTGAAATAACTTGCTCATGAAGGGAACCAAACCTTGATGTTCTCCTTTTCCTTAAAAAAATAACTACACATGCAAATCAGTTTGCCAATATTTGACCTTGTAGTTTTCCTTTTCCCTTCTAAATACGTGTCCTAGTATGGCATTTGACTAAAAATGTGACTAAAAAGGTGCTCTGGATAGTGGTTTTTTTTTTTTTTTTTTGCTAAACTACTTCCTAAACTTCTATCGAATTACCGTGGTTTGGAATTAATTGTGGCTAACATATTTTGAAAACTGTGCCGAGCACTTTACAGAGATTCTCTTATCTAATACATGTAAGAGCCCGTGAGCTTAGTCTGTTATTACTCTTGTTTTGCAAATGTTAATCATCTGTGTTGACAGCCACACAACAAGGAAGGTGAGAAAAAAATAAACGTTTTCTTGTTCTAAAGCTCAGCTCTTATTAGCTATATGGTATACCTCAATGGACCTTTACAAAAGTAAGCTTATCTAATGAATCGATTAGAGAGTTGCTTGTGAATGAGCCATTTTGTGGATGCCCAGATTTGGTGTGTGTTAGGGGAGGGGGGCTCAAAGCTCAAAAAGCTGCCTAGCCTGAGGTTTTGTCTCCAGAGGCAGATGACAGAGGAGATCGTGAATAAGTGTGGTTTGGCGGTCCCAAGCTTCCAACACCATTCTGACCTGGCTGGTTGGAAGCTGGCAGTGTGGACTGCGGACTGGGTGGAGGGGGCTGACGAAGGTCATCCTGCCTGAGGATCCAAAGCATTCAGGGCTAGCCACGCTCCTGGACATGCCCTTCATCCACTTACTAAAACTCACTTGGGTACACAGACTCGCCTCCCTTCTTGGCCCGGGTGACATAACGTCTGCTTGGTCCCCCGACCCTCTTTCACTGTAGTCTAAATGCTGGCTTTCTTCCTAGCCACTCCTGTTGACTCCCCACCCCTGGGATTTGGCCTTTCTCTTGGTCTGATCATCTGCAGAGCTTGGCTCTCTCTCTGCTGCCTCCAACGCATTTCACATTTGGTGAGATGAGTCACCTCTCTTCACCATTGACACAGCACCTTACGCCCGAGCATCCCTGACCGAGCCTCTTTGTCTGCCTCAAATTGCTACTCTTTACTAGAGTTTTAACATTTACTGCTACTCAGAAGATTGTCCATTGTACTTGATTTCCATTTTACAGGTATGGAAAAAAATAAGAGTTTTTGAGTCTCTATGATGTGATAAAGTATAGCAACTAGAACCAGGATTAGAATTAACTTATTCTCATTTTTGTTCACATCTATCTTCACAAGCTTAAATTTTTCCTAATCCTTCCATTGGTATTACTTTTTGTGGGACTAACTTAGTAACACAGTACAAACACAGAGTTTGGAGAACTTGAAATTTATATTTGACCTAGAGACTGGACCTCAAATTTACTACATTAGTTATAGAATCCCATTGGTATTACTTTTTGTGGGACTAACTTAGTAACACAGTACAAACACAGAGTTTGGAAAACTTGAAATTTATATTTGACCTAGAGACTGGACCTCAAATTTACTACATTAGTTATAGAATCTATGATCTGGTAGGGTCTTAAGGGGAATCATTACCTCAAGGGAAATAAACAGAGCTCTCCAGAGTAAAACAGATAAAACACCTGGGCTTGTCAAACAAGGTTGCTGCGAATGACCCCAGCATTAGAGCTTGCACTGTTAATAAGAAAAACAAGGAGGGAAACGAGATCATGGAAAAGGTCTACCTGTGCTTGGTTGCTGGTGTGCAGGGGCGGGTGTGGCGAGGTCTGGTGATGTGCTGGGTGCGCATGAAGGTGGGAGTGGGAGTGGTGATGGGGGTGGTTCTGCTGGTGGTGGGGCTGAGGGTGAGGATGGTGTGCTGGGTGCTGGTGTGGGTAGGGGTGATGGGGTGGCAGCGTCTGGTGCTGATGCGGGTGCGAGTGCATGTGATGGTGCGGCGTCTGGTCCTGCCGGGAGCCCATCATTTCCATCATGTGGCCCATGGTGTTCATATTTCCGTTTGACATGGCAGCAGGGTGGTGAGTCAACGCAGCCTTCAACCTCTGAAACAGAACAAGACAAGAGGAGACAACTGAGGTCAGACATGTGCACAATAGGGATTTTGAAGCTAAATAACTCATATTTTCAACTCTATATTTTCCAGTACTATTATTAACATTTTCAACCAGTAGCCTTTTGTATTAATTTCATATTTTCTTACATATGGAGATAGGTAGAAGGGTCAATGTCAGTCATGAATGTTAATTCAACTGTCACAATAAATGGGCAAGCTCTGCTGTCAAAAGTTATTTCCTACTATCCAATCATTCATTATATCATATCTATGGCCACATGCAAGTATAAACCAAATAGAACCATTCAGTATGATAATTCCACTGAAAAAATGCCCCAGCCTCACATGGAACTGTGTTTTCTGAGTCAAAAGAATAAAAGACTTTGCCTCTCAAAAGATTTCTCAGATGCAGAGAAGAAATAGCTTCAACTTTTAAAATGTAGGTAGAGCAATATTACTTTAGGATTTCAAATTCACATTAGTGATCCATAACTTCTGGAGGCAATGCATAGGCCTTTTCTGTTTATTACCAGGATATTGTTCGTGGTCCCTCCTGATAGTCTAATTTCTCACATAATAACTTTTTTCTGACTTAGAAGGGGGCGAGGAAAGTGGAAGAATATGGAGTATTGCACCTTCTTTGATGGCCATTGTAGTAATTAACACACAGACATGCACACAAATAACTTTTACCTGAATATGAAGCCTATGACTTTTCCTATAAAGAGTCTGATAGTAAATATTTTCATCATTGTGTGCCTACGGTCTCCATCACAACTGCTCAACTCTGCTGCTGTGGCACAAAAGCAGCTGTAGATAATATGCAAAGGAATAAACATGCCCATGCAACTTTATTTAGGGACAGGAAATCCGAATTTCATATAATTTCACATGTCATGAAACGTTATTTTACTTTTGGGTTTTTTTCCTCCAATCATGTTAAGATGTAAGAACCATTCTTAGCTCATGTGCTGTGCAAAATTAGGCCACGAGACAGATTAGATCCATGGGCCATAGTTGCTAATGCTGTTCTAAAGGATCAGTTGGTAATAAGCTTAGTCCCAGTTTTTTCAAAATCATTTTTTCTTCTACACGGGCAATGATCACCATATCCTGAGGGCATGATGTGCTAAGTACTGAATAACACAGTTACTCCTTGGAAATGTGTCTCATGCAGAGATGAGAGTCTTAATTGGCAAGCTCACGGTGGCTTCATGAAGTATTTACTAGCAGACTCAAAGTTCTCTCCTGATTTGTGTTTTTATCTGATTGATGATGGTGGTGTGTAATCACTGGGAAAAGAAGAGTTGTATTCAAATGATGACCAGAGTCACCATGCTCTAGGTTGTACAATACTAATGATTCTCAACCAGTTAAACTGTTGAAAAATACCAATACAATTAATCAAAATCTTTATTTAAACATAAAGAGCCTCCACTTGTTGAGAGAGAGAGGAATGGCAGACTGCATGTTAATACTAGATAATCTTTTAAAATATGTTCTACGTCCTGATTCAGGGACGGCTTAATCTACCTGCCTCCTCTTTCATGAGCATCAGCTACTGCAGCCACAAGAAGCGAAGCTTCCTGAATTCCTGGGAAAGATTAAATGCCAGGTATAGTGTTGACTACTAAACAGAAAAGTGAACTAATACTTCTCCAATTTTTAGAGATGGTTTCATTGTTTTTATAAAAATGCTCATTATAAAAACTTTAAGCAATGCTTAAAAGTACAATGAAGTCAGCAACACATGAGCCAAATGCATTGTTTATATTTGGTGGGCGAGCAGCATTCCAGACAACTCTGTATATGCATATGTAGAGATGGAGGAACGACTGGAATAATTTTATAACAATGGAGTCATAAATCACATAATTTCAAAAACTTTTATCTGACTATGGGATAGCAAAGAAGTGAAAATTGAATGAAGTGCTGGGCTTCAGATACCTGTTTTTGAAATGGTTCTGAATGATACCACCAAACTTAAGCGTGAAAAAAAGTATAAATAAAAATTATGTAGAGATCATTATGGCTTTTCTCTTTTTTTTTGTATTTGTGAAGAATTGACGCTTCCATTACCCCAGCCCCAAACACAGATGTGATAAGGTCCACACATCTCTTCTCGCTGCCCCCACTTCCTGACCCTCAGCATATCCCTTCTTTGTTTCTGTAATGCTCAAGGGATGAAGGTCAAAGCCCTTAATATGGCCTCTATGCAGTCTTTGCAGGGCGAGGCCCTGCCTTATCAGTGCCTTGCTCTTCTCACACAGCCATGCCTCTTGCACTGTTCTCCCTCCAGGCACAAGGCCTTTGCCTCTGATTCTTCTGGCCTGGAATGCTCTTTCCCTTTCTTCAGATATTTTGTAGCTTTCAGCTCCATAATCCTCCTTAGTAAAACTCTCCCTGGTCTCCTGGTCTAAATCAATTCCTGTTATACAAAGGTACCTCAAAGTTTGTGGAAAAATAGAATTAAAAGATAATAAAGCATCTTTCCACAAACTTTTTGAAGTACCCTTGTATGGCTCCCTAGAACCACATTCCTCTTTTAAAAGATTTCAGTTTGTAGTTAACATGATTTCTAGTATGATTAGTTAGTTAATATTCACCAACTGTCCCAGACTGTAAGCTTCATAAGAGCAGAAGGCATGCCATTCACGTTTTGCTCAGTGTTAAATTCACCGCTTTAACACAGAAGCTGGTACATATTAGACACTGAATTCATACTTTTGGAATGAATGCATGAATGGGCAAATAAATGAATGAAACTTTCTGAGGCTGTGATGAGGATGCAACATTTTCATCTTGGATGGATCACTGCAGGTGGTATTTATATGGGAGGATGATTTTACTAATCAACCAAGGTTAGCAGAATCAACTACAGAAGTCATGCAGGCAGATGGGCTGCTCTGCTCCTTACCCCACCTGCCCTCTAGAAAATAACAGAGAGAAGGAAACATAAATAAATAAAAGAAATGCAAATTAACTTCATTTTGATATATGTCAAGGAAAATTGAAAAGCTGTGTAGGATTGGGTCATCCTGTTCTGCTGTCCTTTCTATGTTACCAACAACTTTTCCACCTTTAATTAGGAGCAAATGGAGCCTGACAAATAAATACTATGCACCAGATCTTCATCTCTCAAATAATTAGCTTGTACTGTTAAGGGAAATTACTTGATTGCCTCAAGTCTATTCTTGCATGTTTCATGCCAAGACAATAATACTAGCGATGCTTATAACATTCCATTTAACTATTTATTCACTCAACAACTATTTATTGGGCTTCAGCTATGTGCCAGGTACCCTGCGAGGTACGTTGTAATTTGCCCACTATCTGAAAGAAATGGACGACACACAAAACCAAACCTTTTTAAAAGCACTGGAGAGAAAAAAAAATTCACAATGAAGTGCGGAAATGAAGATTTTGATCACCCCTCAGAAAATCTCCAGCTTCGGGTTGGAAGAAAAGCAGGAACATACATGACTATCAAGCTGCTCTGTGTATGCCACATTTAATAATCTTCATGCATTTGAAAACAGTTTGGTACACTTCTCAAAGTCCTTGGGAGCCCACTGCTCCCTTGCATCCTGGTGCCAACAAGAGCAGTGGCACTGTAAATCATTAAAATATACCAAATATAGATATTTGTACCCCACTCTCTTAGGGATGATAAATGACCAGTAAATGAATCCAAGCTGTATTTTGCAGAATAATTTTTCTTTTTGAAGCTGAACTGTGTCCTGTTTTAAATAACATTCTGCCTAATGCCAACAAAAGGCAAGGGAGAGAGAGGGAAATTAATGAGCAAATAAACATATATTTTTGAGTTATAAAAACCAGGGCTATTACTGAGATGCGACTGCAGGAAAGAAAAAATGATTCTGTTGACTTTCTGTCATCTTCCACCACATTCATTTGTTTCAGAGAGCAAATCGGGAGAGACAGGGAAAGGCCTGATACACAGCTGGTTCCAGTCACTAGGGGTCATTTTCCTTCGGTCTGTGTACTTTACAAGCTGCTAGTTCACTGTTCCCCATGGGCGGGTGGGCCTGCTGCCCGGGATCTGAGTCCTGGTAAGAAACCAGCGATCCGCCTCATCCCACCCCAGGGTGGCCATGCCGTATGTCCCAGCCCCAGGCCCTCTTTAATTTCCTGCTTAGCTCAGTTTTGCATCATGGCACGTCATATGAAGCCCAGGTACGCACACATGTCGTTGTCGCCACAAGCATGCACGCACGTGTGCCTGCGTGAGTCTACATGCACGCAACACACCCACCCACACTCACCCCAGGCAGTTGGTCTCCCATTAACAACTTGCTCATGCCAATTAGAAACATTTGTGGAACTGTGAAAACATTTCTTCTCCACCTTCAGCCAGGCTGACTGCTTATAGGCTCTGAAAACCCAGCTGAATTCTTTTTTTTTTTTTCCTTTTTGTCTTTTTTACTGACCGGCAACGGGATCGCAACCCTCGGTGTTGCGCCCGCACCGCGCTCAGCCAGTGAGCAGGAACCGGTCTCCACATGGGATCCAAACCCTCGGCGGGAGCGCCGCCACACTCCCAAGCGGCGCACTCTCCAGTGCGCCACAGGCCGGGCCCCCAGCTGAATTATTAAACATTATTTGAAATTCAGTTGGGTGGGGGTGGGGAAGTTTGGAGCATTCTTTCTAGAATGATTTTAACCATAAATGGCTGAAAAAAATATAATAATATCAAAATGCAGTATGTTTGGGTTGGCCAGGAGTAAGAGGCTGTCTATGTACGTAGATGATAAAACCTGTGTTCATATTTCCTTTCGAATACAAACAGTTGCCATCAGTGATCTCCCCAAGGCATTGCTATAAAACATAATTTCTCCTTTCTTTTATCAACAGAGGGAGTCAACACCAATTTCTGAATAGTCCAGACAGTCAGCGGTGTGAGACCTTCGGCGAATGTGTGCTTTTTATATCCATGATTACTGACTTGATCTAGGTGTCAAGGATTCC